TCATCTCATTCTGTTTTCTTCTATCGGCATGCTTCTTGTTAGCACATGAACTGATTGGTTCCTTGTGTTGAGTCTCCACACTCCATCCATTCTCTACAGGGACTGCAAGAGGCTGATACCAGGTCAAATTCAGGTACTTGCACTGCTTGCATTTAAAAAAATACTTTTAATAATTACAGGGCTTCATTAGTTTGTCTTTTTTATATTTTTAGATCTGCATTGAGTTCCTCTTTAATGGCTACTACGCAGCTCTCCGCTGTGAACTTTGATGTACTTTGTTACAGCTTTCACAGCTCTTTAGCAAGTTCAAGTAAATTGCAGATCTTCTCTTGAGAGCCTGGAAAAAAACAACCTTGTTGACATTATTTAAGCTGATTACATTGGAAAATAACCCACTTTGTGGTTTCTTGGAGAATGGACAAAGGTCAGTGTATTAGAAATACTTGAGTATGATCACCGGTAGTAACTGTGTAAAGAGCACAGTGGATTTGCTTAGAACTATGTGTTTTTCAGAGCAAAAAAAAATAGTTTATTCCTCTGCGCCATCTAAATGAATACCCCGTAAATGTTTGGTAATCTCTACAAAACAGACCTTTTCAAGAGAGGACATCAAATCGAAAGCTGCTATTAATGATTTGCATGCTACTTTGCCTTTTATTATTAGCAGATGCCAAGGCTGCTAGAGTGCCAGTAGTCATAGAATGAGGTACAGTACATGGATTGTATTTTTATCCACCCTTCTGTATTGATTCATCTGTTCCCATAAATTAGGAACCAGAGCCTATAACTGGGAAGAAGAACCCTGAGTAACTGGAACATGGAAAAAGATGATGTTGCCCATAGCAACCTGACTGAGGGATGCAGGATGAAAAAAGTTACTATAGAGAAACGGGACACTCCCTTTTCTGTAGTCATGTACATTACATTTGTCAGTAAATGAAAAAGTTGCAAAAGGGCCCTCTGGATTTTATGGGCCCATTTACATGATGTAATTGAATTGGGGTGGCGTTATGGGACAAAATGATTCTCCCATAGAGGACCTTTGCAGAATGTTTTCCACTCCCTGCGCTGCATGGTTTTTATAGTGGCCCCCAGCTATCCGGGAGCGTACGGTTCATACTGACAGTATGCTGACAAGGGGGATTTGCCACATGATCAGTGCAGTGTGTGTGTATGTATATATAATATGTATGTATGTATGTATTTTTTGGTAACTTAAGAAATGGAAGAGGCAGAGCTTAAACTTTACTGTCATACAGTGGAATAGTAGAAGTTTGGCTTGGTAGCAGCCTGCATAATGTACTTTTGTTGGCTAAAAGAGGAACTCATGGAGGGGGATATATCAAAACTGGAGCAGACAAAATCTGGAGCAGCTGTGCATGGCAACCAATCAGCTTCTGTCTTTCATTTTCAGATCTTAACTGAAGAGAAGCTGATTGGTCGCTATGGACAACTGCTCCAGTTTCTTTCTGCTCCAGTCTTGATAAATTCCTCCCATGGGGTTTTTATGTGTAGCTAAAGCTGATGTTTTGGTGAGGCGTGGCTCACCTTTTTCAATATAATCTTTGTTTTACAAATAAAATTGTAATCTAGCGTGCAACTGATACACAATCCACAGGTCATTATGAGTCTTCTAATGGTGTGTATGGCAGAAGCTGTCTACTTTGAGATTGCTTGTCTCTCCATACAGAGCCTTCTAGAGGAAGGGAGTAAATCCCTGATCTAAAATGTTTACCTTGAGTTCTGTAAACAGGCTTTTTACAGCAGAGGGGCAAATGAGAAGTTCTACCTACTGGATTCATATGAAAATAAATATTTACATGCAATATTTCATATTTACATGGCTTTTTTTTGTTAGTCCTAGCTATAATAATAATAATTTAAAAAAAAACAAATATATGCAAACCACTATAA